TCGAGCCACCTGATATACCTGACAATAGCAGAAATGATGACCAACTAGAACCTCAGAGTGACCAACACATTCCTCATGACCAGCAACAGGACACTGAAGTCACCGGAGTTGACAATGCGCCTTCCTCAGCCAGACCACAACGGCAGCACGTCCTGCCTCAGAAATACTCAGACTTTGAGATGTACTGACATTTGTTTTATGCTATACTGTATGTGTATGTGTAGCTTTGTTTGGAACATGGGGCAGAATAATCCCCACACCTGAGGGCAGTCTACCCAGTGAAGGTGTTGTTTAATATTTGAGTTTAGTGTTACACACAGTTAGTTTAATATCCTTTTGCCAGTTAAAAAAAAAAAAAGAAGAATTTAGACAAAAATTGTCAGTAAAAAAAAGGAAAAAGAAAGAAAAAATGGTAGCGCCAGGCATTGGCACTCTCCGGAATAATTATTTCCACCCTTGTAATATTGTTATGTGTATTCTCGTTGTTTCCGGTTGCATTATAAAAGTGCGCGCTTTGTACCATCCACATGTGTTGTGATTTCTCACATCTTATACCTTACTCCTATTGGCGCTTCTGAGACAAAGGCTTAAACAGCTAGTGCTATGGCCATTTGTGCGGTGTGCGTTAACTTTTTAGAATATTGGCCCAAGGGCTACCAATTGTACTAAAACTAGGAGTGGGACCCTAACACAAGGGGAGATAATCACGAAAATAAAACCAAAAGTACTGGTTGCTAAGCAACTTCTTCAGAACCACCAGGCAGATTTTCACCAAACTTACGTACAAAGGTCAGGGTATGTTGTATATTAAAAAATTCTTCAAGGCATGACCCTGGGGCAAAGGGCGTGGTCTCAAGGTCACTTCAAAGTTGACCAAAATTTACACTTATTAAAAACGTTGATATTTTGAATGCTATAAAAACTAGGGTCATCAAATCTTGTTAGTCGATGCATCCCAGGACTTGAAATCATGTTAATGCAAAAGTAGGTCACGGTAACCTACTTTTTAAATTTTACGGGCTTTTGTTTTCAAATTGATTTGAGGCATATTTTGGACACTTTAAGGCCTATGATCATAAAACTTCGTCAGTTAGTGCATCTTGGGTCAAAAAACATCAACTTAAAAGTAGGTCATCATGACCTACTTTTTGAATTTTTATTTATGGCTCATCTTTTCTAAAAAATTTAATCCGATTATTTCAGACACCAAGAGGTTTAGAATAACCAAATCTTGTAAGTTGATGCATCTTGGGACCTTAAAACATATTTATCAAAAAGTAGGTCATTGTGACCTACTTTTTGAACTTTGCAGGCATTTTTTTTCAAATTGATTAAAAGGCATATTTTGAATACTATTAGACCTATGATCATCAAATTTTGTCAGTTGATGCATCTTTAGTCTTCAGAAAATGTCAACCAAAATGTTGGTCACTGTGACCTACTTTCAACATTTTATGGCTAGATTTATGTATCTCGGGTACTAATTGGCTTAGAATATTAAAATTTGTCAGTTGATGCATCTTGGGTTTTCGTAGATTAACGACCAAAAAGTAGGTCACGGAGACGTACTTTTTAAGTATTATGTCTTTATTTAAGTGTCTCTCAGGTACTTGTTGGCTTAGAATCATCAAACTTTGTCAGTAGATGCATCTTGGGTTTTTGGAGAATGTCGACCAAAAAGTAGGTCACCGTGACCTACTTTTGACATTTTATGGCTAAAATAAGGTATTTCAGGTACTTATTGGTTTTGAATCATCAAACTTTGTTATTTGATGCATCTTGGGTTCTCGGAGAATGATGATCATAAAATAGGTCACGGTGACCTACTTGTGGCATTTATGGCTATATTTAAGTATTCTAGGGTACTTATTGGCTTAGAATTGTCAAACTTTGTCAGTTGATGCACCTTGGGTTATCGGAGAATGTTGACCAATAAGTAGGTCACTGTGACCCACTTTTGAATATCTTGATTGGCTTAGAATCATCAATCTTTGTCAATTAATGCATTTTGTGTCCTTAGAAAATTTCAATCAAAAAGTAGCTCACCATGACCTACTTTATGTATTTTATAGTTACATTTAAATATCTTCAGCCCTAACTGGCTAAGAATCATCAAACTTTGTCAGTTGTTTCATCTTAGGTCTTAGGATAGATTGTATAATTTATCAGAAGAGCGATTCAAGGCCCATGGGCCTCTTGTTTTGTTTTGTGTTTTTACATGAAATCATTTAACCTGCAAACATGCACATGAGAAAAAATACAAAATTATAAATACAAAAAACAATTCAGATTTCTTTTTCTAGAAGTTTTTTTTCTCATAAAAAAGAAGGTAATGATAAACCTTGAAACATCCATTCGTAATCAATAATTAAAAAGGAATTAACATTCCAATTTTTATTTCTGAATCAGTCATTTTTTTCCCACTCTTAAATTCGACATCTTTAAATATATATTTTTTTAATATAATTTGAAAAGAATTCTCTCACTATACACTATATTTAAATTTTGTTTTGGGTCATTTCAAATTCCACATTGTCCTCTTCGCCATCGTCCTCCGTAGACGACAAAAATGTGAATTGTTGAGTGTTTTAGTTCTTTTTCTACATGCATACAAAATTATACTACCCGGTAAGTACAGGTATGAGTATTAATATATACAGATAATTCAATTCCTGTCCAGTTCCCGTTACAGTTGATCCCTGGTTTACCGAGTCCATTACCGTGTTGTCGTCAGTTGTTGTCAATATATTTCTTTTTGTTACTGTTGAAAAGATTGACTGATGAAGGGAGGTTGACTTTTTATTGTGTAGCTAAGTTGGTAAGTCATGAGAAATGAATGAAATGTAGTACATGGATGTGCGGGTAGTGCAAGTTTTTTGCTCAGGAGGGTATGTAGTGGGGGAAACTTCTTTGACAGTATTATCAGTTGTTGGGTTGCTTCTAAATGTATTGCGAGATGTTCGATTCATCATTTCACTGTCATTGGTTGTTGGTTCGGTCTGTGAGGAGTGTATAGTGTGTGATGTATCAAATGAAGTAGACGTGTTGAATGGAATTTTTGTAATTATGCGTGATTTAGGAGTCTGTAAGGCAAATGTTGACTCTGTCTGTGTACGGACAGTTGGACGTGAATCGACTTTACTGCTGCATGCATACCCCCCTGTATGTAGATGTGAATATTTTGGATGTATTTAAAAATAGCGGAGGGACAATTATAGATTTATGACGCAAGGTTATGCAATTCATAAAATGCCATCTGAGCATGCGCCATCTATCAATAGGGGGATTGTGCAATCGTATAAGAAATGTATAATATTTATAGATGTATCGCTAAATCAATAATAGAAACACCAGAAATTTTATTTATATGAATTAAAAATAAAATACATAGATGTGAAGCGAAATGATAAAGTGTCCAAAATAATTGGTCGTTGTTTGTGACTGACCCTTGCCGTTTCATGAGGAGTATAAAAGAATAAAAGGGATTGCTAATTCTTCATTCAGTCGTTGAACTGGCCAAGAAAGGGTTGGGTAGAAAAAAAATTAAAATGGAGAGTGTTGCGGTTATGACAAATTTGATTGAGAACACTTGTGGTGAAGAGTGTACGACAACACTCAAACGTTGCTGGAGGGACAATGTGTGGATGATTCCAATGTTAATCATTTTAATGGCCGTTCTTGTATTGTTTTGTGTCAATATCCTATGGCTGGAGAAAAGACAAAATGGCATTGATTTAACGAGGGATATCGTTTGATCCCTGATTTATAATTTCGCTAATGGCCTATACTATAGGCTAATGGCCTATACTTATATTAAAGCTGACTAAAAACTCATCACTTCATGTATTAACCTTTACCGAAGTGGATTGTTCACTAAAAGACATTTTCTTCTCAAGTGTTAAATAATTCAGAATTAAAAAAGAATTATATAGATTATCCAATCTGTATGTACTGATCCCAGTTAACGAAGCAGGTGATAACGTTATATTCCTTTGTAATGTTTTAATTGTATTTGAGTGGACACAAAGCTCTTGTTAGCAAAGAGAATTTATTATTACCTGGTAAGTGAAGGACCTACTTTTGTTCTTATTAAATGTTAGGATATAATTTTCATATTCAACGTTTTTTTTCCTGTTACTTTTTATCATAAGAAAGACCAAACGTGTGAATAGTCTGCAGGGAATGTTCACTCATTCATGGCACCTGATCATACCTTTGATTTGTGAAAGGTCAATGTTTGCTCAGCTCCTAAATTGTTTGAGGAAACTTCGGGGTTCAGTACTGTTCGTCATCTGTTATATCTCTCTTTAAGTAAATCATTATACCAGGTAGAAATCACAAAAGTTCCCGACCCACAAATCTATTCTTTCTTGAGACCTTTTTTAAAAATTGCAGTAATTCACAATTTTAAATAATTAATTCAACAATGTTATATATAACACATCAAACAATAATTATACACGACTTATTACATTAATGCAGTCCACAAATATATAATTATAGGAAAAAAAAACTTGGACACTTTGAAAAACGTTGGCGAAAACTTTGACACTTTGAAAAACTTTGGCGAAAACTTTTGACACTTTAAAAAAACTTTGGGGAATACTTTGACACTTTAAAAACTTTGACACTTTAAAAAACTTTGGCGAAAACTTTGATACTTTGAAAAACTTTACCGAAAACTTGGACACTTTGAAAAAACTGTATTCTGTGAACAAAACCTCTTTCCTCATCAGTTGTATGAGTATGAATTAACTTCAAAATTCTTTTGTAATTTTATACGTTCCTTCTTTCGATTTCTCCACAGGCTTTTATCAAACACTTACATAAAAAAAAACATTTGTCGAATTAGATAGACTTTGGATCAAGGGTCCAATCTCACACAAGATTGAGGGGCCTCCACATCAATAAAGCAGTGGATCAAGTGGTAAGCTTATTTAGTGGCAAAAGAAAGACCTTCTTAAGGTAGGTAAATACTATTAGAAATAACTGTCAAACAGTTTATTTTTTCTCTCTAATAACTGAAACAACTCTTTAACCAACAAAAAAACCCATAAAACATGTACCTTTGCAGGATTATTTTCATACTACGTGCTAGAGAGCACATATACCCCAAACTTCAAATGCCAATTTTTAACACAAGAAGAAAACATTTCATATTTTATTCAAGTATGCAGCAAAGCACAATGTTTTGTGCTATAATCCATCCAATCTAATAGATAATCAATTACAAAGAGAATTGTTTGAGCAATTCAATTAAAAACATGTAACATTTAACATTTATATTGCTCACATCCATCAGAAAAAAACCCACATAATAGCGTTATTTTGAAAAATTCCAAAATTTATATTGTTTACATGCCAGTTTTTCTTTAAAAATATCTAGAATAATATCTAAGGTTACCAAAAACACATATTTTATCATGGTTGACCAGAGATATTTTATTAAATCATATCTTGAATACCCCTACCCCCATTTCGGTAATAGCATATTTTACCATTATATTTTACAAACTTTGAAAAATATTAAAATGTAACAAATAGATCTATTCTCAGAATGAAATACAAATGGAATATTAAAAAATACTGAAATTTTGGTCCTTCTAAACACTTAGAACACATATAGTTTTTGGGGGGGGGGACCCTTCCCTGTTTAACATTTTTTCCCATACAAGTACAAAACTCTTTTTACAATTTATAATCTCATACATATTAAAAGAACTGATGTAGTGTAACAAAAAATATATGTAGATTCTAGCAAGTATAGCTCATAAACATATAATTTTGTTGTATAAAAATACATGTACTTATTTCGAACTATAACGAGTTCAAATACTCAACAACTTTGCCAATGATTTTCTGCGACTTTGTTATTCTTGGTGTCTTTGAACCAGATACAACCTCACTAAAGACAGTCTGAATCCCACTATGGGGGTCACGCTTATGTATAAGTTTAAGCTTGTTTAGGCTTAGATTGTTAGCTGTAAGCCTGTTAGAGATCAGTGTAGATACTATATTGCCTTGTACCAATGGAACTAATGAGGACTTTACACTGTAATAATTCATGGTAAATATATCTGAACCTTCACATTTGAATGCTAAATTTGACTCGTACAGTTCGCGTAAACTACAAACATCAGATAGAGCATTGTGTGCATCATAACTTTTCCCAAGACACAATCTGACTAAGGTTTCTTGCTTAAAATTCCCCATTGTTTTCTTGTCGAAAACTTTCTTTGCAAGTTTATATGTATCTAAAAAACCTACAACATTTTCAACAAATTATTTAAGTAAACCATGTCTCTGCAAATGATATTGGAGAATTGGAAGATCAAAGTTTTGAATATTGTGTCCAACAATGACTGGTTTTGATTCACAATCTCTAACAAAGTCTACAAACTGAGTCAAACCATGGACTTGACTCGTTGAAGGCACAGGTTCTCCATGAAGAGTGAGCTGTCCCATGTCATATCTGAGACCTGTTGCAGCCGATGCTTCCTTACAGATTGGTACACTGGGGTTCAGATAAACATTGATTGACCTATCTTCACAAACTGCAGCAATCTGTATGATGCCAGATGTTCTACCTGAAAGCAAAATTATACATGTTTATTTGATACCAAACCTGAAAATTGAAGTATTTATATTTGTTAGTAAAGGTTAAAAAGGTAAAGTGGGAATAAAATCTTACTAAGTCCGGTAGTTTCTAAATCAAAATACATGAAGCAGCTGCTCTCTGGAGAAATCATAAGGGGCTCTGGATCAATGTTATCAAGATCAACATCCTCCTCAAGACCAATATCTGACTTGTATGATTGTCCTGTGACAAAAAGAATTCAAGTGAATAATACTGAAATTCCAACGGCAATGGCTTCTCTAAATGTGAACAATAAACAATAAATTAAAGTAAAACGTTACACTGATTCAGTTCTATTTTAACTGAAACTCTACCTTCTAGAACATTCCTCGCTGCTTCTTTAGACAATCTGGCGGCTTTTAATTCCAGTCGACGTCTCTTGGTAGACGGTAAACTCTGCATGAGACGTTTGCGTTTGAGCTTGTTGGCAAGTCTGATGGTATGCTTCATTGTGAAATTGCCAGGTTACAATGCCATTTTCTTGTTCAGCTGTAAGATATAATTTATGTTTTAGTAAATATTTTCATTTTGTGATTGTTCCATATTCAAATAAAATGGTAAATTGGTTAATAAGAATAGGGATAAATTTTGAATGTGAATTTCTTAAGAAATCCATCCTCTAGGTACTTTATGTACATGTTTATGCAGATAAACATGATTGTAAACATCTTTCTAAAGACTATTTGTTTTTATAATTTACAACATTTATTGTGGAAAACTATTAAAATCAAAAATATACTTTAAGAACACTAAATACAAATGCAAATAACATTTTATGGTTTGCCATAAAAAAGAAAGAAACATAACACATAACAACAAACTGTAATGAAAAACAAATTTCAAAAATGATTAACTTGAAACTTTCAACACATTTTTCTACCTCTGATATGTAACCGTAACCCATATTCTTTTGGCAAACAGTAGCTGAGAGTCTAGCATGTAGACTCTCTGAACCTCCATAAAACCTAACAACACATTTTTTGGACTTTGAATCTCACATTTCAGACTCAGTTGTTAAGATCATATCCAGAACTGTTGTTCTAAACAGGAAGAAATAACCAAAGTACTTACAATCTTTTGGGGGCTTTAGTGGAGACCATATGGTTAAAGTTCTCATTGACTTGGGTGGATCCCATCATGGCCAGCTCCTCTGACTTACAGCAGTATTTCTTGAATAAAGCTTCTAAAGCTTCTCGGAGTAAGGTGCAGGATAGAGGCTTTCCATATGGCAAATTTCGAGGCTTATAGTCAGTCTTTTTACTGCGACACCAAGTTCCACAGCATTCGTGTTCACCTTAAAAAAAAAATCTGGTTAAAATGTTTTCATTCTTCAATCCTAATCTTCATTCCTAATTTGTAATGACTTCTATATTGTTGATACTCTTACCATATAAATGTGGAACAATTTTGCCAAGTTCATTTTCAAGATCTTTAGCCTTGCCCCTGTTTTGCTGTACACAATACGTAAAACATCTAAAACAGAAGGAAAAAGACACTTATTTTTAAAAATAATAAGCCATAACATTTATAATTATGTGTAAGAAGTTTTTTTGGACTACAGTTGACCAAGGGATATTGTACTGAAATATTACACTTCAGAAACACAAACCTTTCAATGTGACTTCTAAGTTTTTGATTTTTCAAAACTTTATGGGTGTTGGCAAGCTCAATCAAAGCTCCAGTAAAACCTTTTCTTGTATGGTTTTTGTCAGCTCTTTTATTAATGGTTGGGTCCACAGTGGCTTTTACGTGAGCAATGGTTGTTGAGTCATTGTCCATGACTAAAGTTCCTATCTGTGAAATACATTGGAAATTTGTACTTCAGTTAAAAAGCAAAGTTTTAAATATACATGTATATTATGGTACTAAACTGTACATCCATATTTGACATTACTGCTGATAAAAAATTAAACATTCAATAAAAAGCTACCTTGCACCCTTCATCTTTGATTGCACTCAGCATTTCACAGGCCATGGCTGGCTCCATTGCTTTTGCCGATCCCTGCCAATTCTTTCGGCAGTTGTGTTTTCTGGGTGGAACTCCTTTAGCTGTTGCAGCTGAGCAGATTCTGCATTTTTTACTCTTTGAAGAGAAACTTACTATCTTTTTAGTTTTTTCTCCTACTAGAGATGCGTGACCTGTAAGAAGATAAATACTGCTAGCATATAACTACATTTACATGTATATGTTTTAGAATATGTAACTCTATATCTCAATCTTTATTGAGGAGGGAGAATCAAAACATGCAACAATAACATTATCACCACGGCATACCAGTGAGACTATTGTATCCTCTACCAGTACCTCTCTTCTGCCAGGCACCATCAAAAGACACAGTGATGTCTCCATCACGCCTACAAAATGAATAACACAAATGTACATTACAATTACATGTATTATCAAATATTATTAACATGTAAATTCAAAACATAATTTATATATCAATACAAACAAAATAAATAAAAAAAATTACAGTTTCATTTCTTCTTGAAGAACTTCATTACAACTCTGCCCTGCCATTTCCTCTAAGTGTTTCCCCACCTCTCTTTCTCTGCTTTTAAGACTCTTGTTAGTGATCCCCGGGATATTCAATGCAGCCAGTAATGCATTTACATGAGTAATTCCATAGCCACCATTTAGCATACCTAAGAGATTATTACCAGAAATAAAATGAAAATAAAATAATTCTTTTACATTTTAACTTCTGTATTATTAGTATTAAATTATTTTTATCTGCTTATTTGCAAGTCTAGATAAAATTTCTAATTTATACCTGCAGCCAGCTTTGTGTTGACATCCCAAGCATATTGCTTCATATCTGCTTTAACCCTATGTTTACTGCCTGTGGGTATGTCGTTAACATGGGCACAACTGGAATGCGTGCACTTTATCTGCAGAACCTGCAATTGACCAAAAGTTAACTGAAAGTGAAGGGGAATGCCGCATCTTTAAAAACGAATTTTTTAGGTACATAGTCATTGACAATATTTAATAAAAATAAATACCTGTCCTAGTCCAAATTTCCTTTCACCTACAGTGTTGACAAGCTGAAGTGCATTCCCACACATAACGCAACCTCTTTTCAAATAATCAACAAGAGTGCCGAGTTCTACAATCCATCTACCGACACGCCATGAACTCTCTGCACTTTCTGCACTTTGACCATTAACGGTTCGTAGGACAGGGGAAGAATCATTTTCCAAGCACGGAGCATCATTTTTGGCATCTAATATTTACAAAATAAATGAATCTAATGATCGAATCTTTTGATACGTATTCCAACTGTCAAAAATAGAGCAGAAAGCTCGCACAATACATACACTTAGTACTTACCATGTTTACCTCGTAAGGCATGGGCTTCTCGTGCTTTCTTTAGCCCCTCAAGTCTGCGCAGGAACGAAGCTTTCCTGAATGTCCCTTTTTCAGACCGGGGCATCGTTGCATTTGTTTTCAATCACATGAATTTTATGTTAAAACAAACCACCGAAAAATTTGCGCCAAGTCCAAGTGATAACCGGAAGTCTGATGTCGGTGTATCAAATTTAAAACCGGAAACGAAAAAGTATGGCCTTGCCTTAATTTGTCTGGCATCCCAAGTTTATCAAATAAATCGAACGACTCAGACATATTCAATTCAGGAAATTTTATTTTTTGCGAAATATAATAGAACGGATTTAAAGTATATATAATCTTATCATTTATTATCATACCATCAAAACATTACGCATTATCAGAGCAGAAAACGTCAAAAACGAAATGTGTGTTAAAGTGCGTGATTGGGTAAAGGTATATGCGTTAAAATGCTTGATTGCGGGGATGGGGGTTAATTTTCCTAAAAAAAAGATTCTGTGTTAAAGTTTTAATATATATAAGACACAAAAACACAGTTTAGGCTGTACTAACGATGTAATGTATTATCTTTTAAAATATAAAAACACTATTATGGAAAGTAAGGTGAAATTTGGCGACGGCAATGATCGAAAATTTGTTTGAAAAAAAAATTTATTCATTTATCAATAAAACTTTCATTCATATGATTTGACATGATTCTTCATTAATTAAGACATTTTTTATTTGATTAGAACAAAATGCAGACAGGTAATGCACATTCCATTGGCAAGGTATACGCCTTTTACATGATTCCGGGCTTCCTTTCGTGTAAATACTCGGAGAAAAAATATCAAAAAGTATAACTAATGTTTTTTGTGTGACAAAAATATTTAAGGAATAACTGTCTTATTTTTCGATTTCATGAAGTGATCAATCGATTGGCTTGCGTGATAATTTGCATAAACGCCAAAGGCGTTGATGCATTAAATTATCACGCAAGCCACTTATTCCTTATATTTACATGCTTTGATTCCGCCAATCCACGTGCTCCAAGCCCTGCTTCTGTCTAGCTGTTTGCCCCGCCCTGCACGTGGTTTTTCTTGGAACCGCGCTAATACATTGATGGGGAAATAAAGTACATTTACATTTGATAATTTTATCTCGGACAAAGACATTGGAAATGTAAATATGTTAACATAAAGGGTCCAGCAATATTTTGAATATCAGTAACCAAAGCTTTGAAATGTATTGGCGACATCGCTTTTTTCCATTTGTAAGAAATCTACGAGATGGCAGTAAAGTGGAGGAGAAAATGAGTTAATTGTCAAGAACACAGTATGGGGTTGGGGGGGGTACACACAAGACACTGCATTTTAGATTTTACTGAACATTTTTGACTGTTCAATGTTTGGAAAATGACATATTGAAGGCAGTGATGATATCCATAAGCTGACAAAGTCGAATAAATCTAACTTCTATGTCACCATCACTTTACGAATGATAACTTTTGTATGAACTTTATCAACAGTTCTCTGACGCCGATGAGAACATTTACAGAATCTGTATTGAAGGGCCGTCAATTAGCTTAATTGCCTAATACTTATTTAATGTCAATGCCATTTGTTTGTTGTTATGTTGTCTTATTAAGGTCTTCCGTTTCCAACGGAAGACCTTCTACTGATTCTGATGATTAAGATTATTAAGGTCTTCCGTCTTCAGCGGAAGACCTTATTGTTTTTCTTAGGTTTCTTTTCCACTATTTTTAGGGTCTTCCGTCTTCAGCGGAAGACCCTTCTATTATTCTATTGTTTCTTTTTCACTTTTCTTATTATTATTAGGGTCTTCCGTCTCCAACGGAAGACCCTTCTATTATTCTATTGTTTCTTTTTCACTTTTATTATTCTTTTT